TATTATTATTATTATTATTATTATTATTATTATTATTATTATTATTATTCGTATTTGGTCACCCATCCAAGTACTCTGATCTAACCCCGCCGAACAGGGCTTAACTTTGTTGAGCGGACGAGACGTGGTACTGTCCTTGTGGTATAGTGACTCTACGCTGAACGCACTTTTTTTAATTTCTAAGATGAGAAAAGGTAACAAAGAGAGCAAAAAAAAAAAAAAAACATTGAAACTGGTTGGGAAAATAAAGAACGAACAAAACTGAGAGAAATGAAAATGAGAATTATTACTTGCTTTGGTGATCGGACAAGAAGCGGTGCGAGAGACCGAGACGATTATAAAGAAAGTACCGATAACTTCATGAATGTTTTCAACAGTGTTACATCTCCTCGTGTATTCTCTTACCGTTACGTTTTGCACTATTTCTTAACAATACCAGTGGGCTTTAACTGTAACTTAAATAACCTACGGATTAAAACCTATGGATCAAAACGCAACGGTAAGTGGGTCCAGATTGAGGGGTCCACGTTTTGTACCGACCCCGAAATCACGCTTCGATCGTTTTTCCGAAAAATGGCTCCTACCCTGTAGTTTTATAACAACTAAATTTAACCTGCTCTATTTGTGCAAGCAAACTGGAAATTCCAGCGACTTACTACGATTATTAGTTGAGTAAGGCGGTACAAAAGTTTGGTTATCAAGTTTTAAATCGTGTTGTTGTCACGAGCAACCGTATCCATTGGCAACTTGTCGACCTTTGACGGCTGTTGATATTGTTACCAACGGAAACGAGGTAAGTTGCCCGTGACAACACCATAATTTTAAGGCCAAAACTTCGTAACCAAACTTCCCTCGTGCCTTACTCAACTGATAATCGTAGTAACTGTGAAGGTCAAAAAGCCGTGAACACGTTGATTTGATTTTGACGTGTCTATTGTGTAGCCACCAATCAGATGCGAGATAAAACCGCAAATAAATCAGTCACGAAACTAGCCTTCGATCGCTTCGCCTTCCTAAAACCATCGTTACCCTGTAGTTTTCATATTACAAAACCTTGTAACCACTTTGCAACCACTTTCTCACGACGCGAAAAATATAGAAATATAGTACGCCTCCAAAAAATCATCCTACGTTGGGTCGGTTTCTGCTTTTGTATTCTTCATTTTATAAGTGAAGCCGATTAGATCACTATTGATCCAACGTATACCAACAGGATCATCGTTCCGGTTGCTTGCTTAAACATTTTATAAAAATATAGAGCCTGAAATTTGCATACTAATTTCACATTTTCACATGTACAGTTATTTTAAGTGTTGCTCTTTTGATTGGAGAGGCGGGCACGGAAGAATGTCTCGGTAGACAATGAAGAAATAGAAAAATGTTAAAGTAGAAAAGAGTCACTAAAAATTGTCGGCTAGTGTGCGGTGACTTCGGACACGTCTGCGACAAGATCGGGGCTTGTCTGGCGATATCTGACAGTGCTAGATCTCCAAACGTCTTGTCCGGCCTTGTCAACTAGTATGCGATGGACCAAGACAATATTAGGGACCTTACGCAAAACACGACGGCAACAGCAACGAGAACGTCACCAAACAAAAGGTTTAATGAGCGAAACAATGGCTGCGCACGTGCATTATACTTCTTGGTACATTTCTTTGCCGTCCTCTGCAAAACAGCAATGTGAAATGTTCTGAGAATCGAGAACGTAAACTACAACGGCTAATTTTTCGTATTTCGTTTTGGAACTGAACGCATTCGTAGCATATTCAGCAGGGGCAAGTTTTAATACCGACAGACACTGGATAGTTCCAAATAAATGCGAAATCCCAAAGTAAAATAAAAACATTTTTTTACTAGGCGTCGTCCTCGCCGTCGCCGTCGAATATGTACGTCGCGTAAGGTCACTTATTTGTCGGGGCTTGCCTCAACCAATTGGGAAATGTCATGAGAGTCACGTTAGTGGAATAGGCGCCATCTTGATTTTGGATGATTCGACCCCAAGCCTCGACGCGGTTAGTCGCGACAAAAAATCGGTTAGTGTGCGGCAAGCTAATGGCCCGACAAATTTTAATCCGATTTGACCCCGACAAAAAATCTGCAGCTCTACGGCAAAAAATCGGCTAGTGTGTTCCGAATTTCAGCTTCTATTATAGAGCCCTGGGTAGAGAAACCTGCTGTAGACTAAATTATTTACACAGTGGCCACTTTCCCGGTAAAGTTATACCCTATTTTAGACCAAAACTGTCTGATTTCTATACCCTATCCCTGACTTAACTGTCTGAAAATAATAATAACAGTAATAATAATAATAATAATAATAATAATAATAATAATAATAATAATAGCCCACTCGCCTTGGCGGTTTTTAGTGGGGCCCTGCAAATTTGGTACGCATGCCAGGAAGGTGTCATACCCTTCACAGCGGCACACACCCAAACAGCTTCTATATGGGAGTACCTTCCCCCAGGGGAAGAGTGTGATTTAAGATAAATACCATTGACACTACTTCAATAAAGTCATTCATTCATTCATCCAGTCATCCATCCATCCATCCATGCATTAATCCATCCATCCATCCATCTATCCATTCGTTCATTCATTCATTTGTTCATTCATTTACTCATTTATTCATTCCATTCATTCATTCATTCCATTCATTCCATTCATTCCATTCATTCATTCATTCATTCATTCTTTGATAATTTTTATATGTTTTATTAGCAGATAATTAATTCTAGAGCCGATCATTACAAATGTAATATAACGGAGAAATTAAAAAAAACAATTGTAATTGTCATTTCTTTCCTTATTAGGTACCGGTTTTCTTTATTAGGTACTAGTCTTCTCGTTTAAATTTATTGTAGTGCAGCTACCGTTTTTATACTTCTGATGATGTATGTAGAAGCATACGAAACGTTAAATTCTTAAATCAAGCCAGTTTTACAACATACGTTGTTTTGTCATGTTTGTGACCGCACTTTGTTTTCTATTTTTACTCAAGCTGAAATGGCCGAAGAATAAGAGTTTCTACGAATTAGCTCCTTATATCAGAGCAATGTCAAATGGCCGTTGACATAATCTGTGAAGGGCTTTTGTTGGTAGTCTCATTGATGATGATGAGAAAGTAGCTTCATCTTTAAAACATACCCAATTCAAGTCTTAAGTGCAAAACCATACCCTATTTATGACCAAAATGGTCAAAATCGATACCCTATTTATGACTAAAACAGCTGAAAAACCATGCCCTTTGGGGTCGCACATAACTATATGGCCCATATAAGGGAGCACCCCCCCCCCCACCCCGCTCCCTCCCGCACCTGGACTCGGACTATTTTGTCTTTCATCGTTTCTATCGACTTATGCTCCAACCTCGATAGTTAAAGAAATCTGAAGAAGTAGAAAAATAAAAGGAATTACGGTCGTTGGCTGGGTTTGAAAGACCCGTGACGGTCAAAGCAGCCATGACGGTCGTCACGGACATGTTGCGCGGCCCGTTCTTTGCCCGGCTTTGCCGCGCGCACTTGCCGCAGAGCATGAGAGGCTGTTGTGACCGCCACGGTCTGTTTACGGTCTTCATGGGTAATCGTCGATGATAAAATATGACTGAGAACTAACAAAATATTACGACTGAAAACTTTGGGCCGTAGACTTTACAAAAACTTATGTTGATCCGTCACGTTTACGCGTATGAATATTATCACAGGTCACGGTGCTCACGAACACAAACGTCACGTGTTCTACTAATCTGTCACGGTGCTGTCACGGGTAATGAACTGTCACTTAGTTCACACCCCCACGATTACCTAATTTGGCAAGCGAACGCACAGACGAAGGACGGAGAGCACCCGAACACTCAACGGTACGACCGAAAGGCGAAAACACGGAAAATTTAGAGACATCTTTCTCGTCAGCTGAAGTACAAGATGACTGAGAACTCAGAGCGAAGGTAAGTGTATTTTCTGAGACATAAGGTCGAGAAGCGTTAGCGAATCTTGAAGATAGAATGTCAAACCGAGTCGGCTAACGCCAGTCACGAGGTCGAAAGTGCAATAAACAGGTTGTTTTGATCGGAACTAAGTTCAACATACAGTGTCTTAGATCAGATTTTGGCATTCGCAAGGTTCGTGAAGCAAATTAAAAACAACAATTTTTTTTTTAATATCTTTTGTTGATCATCTGCTGGCTCCACATCAACAGGGCCGGTGAGAAATGGGACAATTTACATACATGCTTAAGCTTATCTTAAGCTTATTGTAGATTTACCAAGACAGTGGAAAGATTACTCAAAGAGGTTTTCTAGGACGCTTACAGCTAGCTTGTTCTTTTGTAATTATGTTTAAATTTACATTCTCGTTGTACCAGTTACTCTGACCATGTGCAGGCCAATTAGTAGTTAATGTACCAGAATTTGTAAACGTATGAAACAAAAGTAAAGGTTCTTGTTCTTCTAGCTTACATTGTTCGGATGTTGTAAGTACAAAGGCAAACAAAAAAGTTGATTAAATAAGCTTATAGCGCTTTGAATGGCTGTGCTGTTAACATAAGAACTTGCACAATTAATCAAGACAACTTTTGGACGCTTAACCCGTATTCTTCTTTTGTTAACCTCCCCTTCTGTTGCTGAGAAAACGTTCAGAGCCGGTAGATTAAAGTTTAATTAAATGCTAAATCGACCTATTTTGACGTAATGCTTTTATTTACACACCTTCAACAATTAATTTTTAACTATCAACTGAAATCATTTACCGTGAATCATTTATCACTGAAAGCTGGATTAGTTAAGACTGTTTTGCACGTAATGTAACAGTGTTCTGATGCATGCTCCTACAATTTTCCAGATTGGGACCAGTATTTTTTCTCCTTGTCCTCAAATAACTCATTTTATTATCTTGAGATAACTTGAAGCCAAGTGTAATCTGATTGGTTCTTTCTCGGCTACATATTGTTTTGTTTTGTGCCATGTAATAAACTACTTATGGTGGCCCTGTACTGGCAAATATTTGCCCTCACTTGTTATTGTATGGATCTTGTTGTGCTCAGTCTGTCCTGCCACAACCTGGGGCCAGTATTCCCCAGTATGGCCCTTGTACTTGGTTAGTGAGAGGTTAATCTCATTTATCCATGCATAAGATAAAAAAAGCCTTTTGAGCCATGATTTAGTCTGTTACAAGGCATGTAATAAAGAACAAACCAAGAGAAAGTGTGAAAAAAAGTTGCAAGCACAGATTAAACACTGAATGCTTTAATTAAAGTGCCTATGAAGTAGAAGATAATTGCTGCTTATTTGAAACACTTTTCAAAAAATTATAAAGAAGAATATCTTTGTCTGTTGTAGGGTTAAAGTTGAAAAAGTGGTCATAACTAGAGCTGGTTGCTTACAAGAGTGAGCTCTCATAAGCAACTGCATGGTAAAACAATAGAGGGTGGTTGCTTATGAGAGTTTCAGAAGCTCCCTAATAATTATTCGTAAAGAAAAAAACAAAGGAAAATAATTTTTAATGAGCATCTTTATATCAGATATAGACACAGCTAAACTTGACATTCAATTTTTTAGACCAAAATAACCAGTAGCACAGTTTGCAGTTTTATTAAAGTGTATGATTTATGTGTAAAATACTCTGAGCATTGCTTACAAGAGCTGAAAAACAAGGAAAAGTCCAGTTGGGTAATCCCAAAAGTGGTTGCGGTCACCCATGGGAGCAGTCGCTTACCAGAGCTTTTCATTCCAAAGTTTAAGTCACAGTTCAAACAGGGTTTCACAAAGGTGGTTTTCATCTAGAGCTGGTTGCTTACGAGAGTGGTTGCAAGGAGAGCTTCAACTGTATTTACATTATTGTATTATGCAAATGGGGAAAGTGATGGTGTCATCAATAATAATTATTGTTTCACTAAAACAGTAGAATACTGAATCAAGAATATCTCTAGAAATATTAGAGTGCGCTGTTCTTCAAACTTGGCACCAGAAATGTAAACATCACTTAGGAAACAACATGATACCTGTTGTGTCATTGCTATGACGACAGATTTGTTGTGTTATGAGACAGCAAACTACAAGTATTTTGAATTAATTAACACTTGCACCATTTTCAATTTTTGTGCTCTCACAAAGCCACACTCTAATAATTATTGAATGCTCTTTGTACAGAGGAAAGAAATAATTTTCCTAGATAATTCGTCTTTCAGTTTATTGTTTTCTTTGTTTGCAGATTTGAATTCAGCCATGAATATGACACTGTTGAAGAAATCTGTAAAACAATTCTTAATCAGACGGCACATAGACCTACCATTGGTATCATATGTGGGACAGGCTTATCATCACTAGGAGATATTGTTGATGATAAAGTTTGCATTCCGTATGAGAAAATCAAGCATTTTCCTAAAAGCACAGGTATGTACATCTACTAACAGTAAAAAGAAAAGGCTGAAGAATTAGGAGGCCAGTAATAATTACATGGGTGAATATTCTGGTTTTTATTTGAATCGTCTGGAAACTTAATTGAAAAGTTCCATCTAGACAAAAGGGGTATGTAAAAACAAGATTCAAGACACTTTTCGGAAAAAATCAGTGGGTTTGTTTTTTGCCACCTTAACAACAGCAGTTATGTCATTCAAACACATCTATCATACAGTGGGGCTGCAACGATACAATTTCTCATGATACGATAATATCTCGATACAAGTCCCACGATATGATACACAGTACAATACATCATACAACTGACAGGTGACGTAATCTTGACGAAGGTACCAGCCCTAGATCTAAATCAGTTTTTCTGGAAGACATCTTGAGACGATCTTGCAAAGAAGAGCTGTGGAGAGCGGACAGAGTATGTGTTTTGTCCATGGGTGCACAAGACTGTGTCAGCGGACAACTAATTGGAACTGCGCCTGCTTTTGTGCGGCCATCTTGAAATTAGGATACATGACCGGAAGCATGCAAAGCAAAGAACTTTTTCCGTTTCCCGGGTCTCTTTGTTTAATAAATAGCTCTGAAAGGGCTTGGACTTGGGTAAGGAGTCATAACACACATTTATTTTTCAATGTTGAAGTTTTTATTCATGAAGAATCTCAATATCATAATATCATGATATCTTGTCATCACACTCACTGCTGGGTTATTCTTCTGACCTTTAGGAAAAGATAACAAGTTCAGTTGCCTTACAACTGGCCCAGCAATAAAGCTGCCTGTAGATTGTAGGCCAGTTGTGTGCCCACATTGCCATTTTGTAATTAAAAAGCAGTTATATTCAAGTTTTGCACCAATTAAGATACAGTACTTGCTACTAAATAAAAGTACAGTTGAATCCCAATTTTTTGAACCCTCTGAGTCTACTGATTTTTCAAACCTCCCAATAACTCGACCGGAATTCATTTCCCCCCTCCCCCCATCAATCTAACTCTGTAATTTTCCCCCGAACTTCTATAGAACTTGATACATACCTCTGACTTCGTACTTTAGTCAAAGTGATAATGTAAAGTATTTACAATGTATCTCAACTTTTAAACTGATGTGATCGTTATTTACGACTGACAGTTCAAGGACATGCTGGACAGTTTGTATTAGGCACTCTTAAAGGCAAATCTGTGGCAATGATGCAGGGGCGCACACATTTGTATGAAGGATACACAGTTGGACAGGTAAGTTTAATTTAATCAAATGAATATAAATATCATGACTAATACTTCTGAAGTAAGAGCTTGTTTGGTGGTTTCAGTAACATGCAAATTCAGAGCTGCTGTCAGACATCTTTCTGGAAAAAATGATTGACGTAATTTTATACTCCCTCTATGCTGGTTTAAAAGATCACAGGAGATGTTGTTATATAGGGCTTGAGACTTAAAACAGTCAACTACGTGCGCATGTAATCACAGACTCATACAAATTGGCTACAATATATTTTATGAATTTCTTAAACATTGCATAGTTGTCCAAATGTTAAAGATGAGTGCTGTGGGAATGACAAAATTTATGACGTAGGTAATAACCAGCAGTTTCAAGAGTTTTTATTCTAGATTGTTGATGACTTTTGTAGACATGAATTGCCAGGTTCTGCTGTGCCAACATCTGACTAGTGGAAAGTCTGCAGGCTATTTAATAATAGTTCTCAGCTGGTAAAATACGACATGCCACAAGCCATTAGGCCATGTTTGTCTATATTATAAGTAATTGGTTGGTTACATTTTGCGTTTCTTCTTTTCCACTGCTCGTTGACACAGTCATTCCAGCTCATACATGTTACAAGTTGGTGTTTCTATGCACTTCACAGATCACTCTTCCTGTGCGTGTCATGGTTCATCTTGGTATCAAGACCCTCATTGTCACCAATGCTGCAGGAGGACTTAATCAGAGTTACAATGTTGGTGATATTATGATTGTCAAGGACCATATTAATCTGGCTGGACTCACTGGAGAGAGTCCCTTGAGGGGTGTTAATGATGAGAGGTTAGTCTGTTATTAAATAAATATAAGTTTCCATTATATAAGCCCCCGAATGCATTAAATGCCCATGCATGAGATCAAGTCCTTCTATGACAAACTAAGATATCACTGCATTATTTTATGTCAATTTACAGTAAGCTTAATAGACAGATGATTTTTGTAAAAAATACTTGCTTTTGTTTTGTATTGAATAAAGGTTTATAGAAACTGCACAAATTGGGCTGTGCTGGAAGGCAATTGGAACACAATAATATTGATAGGCTATTTATAAACTTAAAGTTGATAAAGGTAATTAAAAGTAATTACCGGCAGTAGCAAGTTTGTGAAGCTGACGTTTTGACTCTTAGTGAACCTTGTCAGATTAATTATTGCTGTATTGCATGTGTGTTAATGTAACAATCCCTAGACCAAATATAAACCTTAAAGTTCTTACTGATCATACCCCCCCCCCCTGATAATGAGCCCATCCAGGGTCACCCTAATGTCATTCTCACTAGCCCTCGAATCATAGTTCAATAATTTCATCTCTCACAGTACTTCTAGGGTTTGAATTTCCTCACATTTCCCCCCAAAATATCTTCACTTGTCACTTGGGCAAGTAAAGGGGAAAAAATTCACTATGCTGATTGCAAAATCCAGTGGCCGTGAGCTATTGGACACCACTTTCTTTGCATGCTGCCTAATAAGCTCAGGACTTACATGTTATCATTACAAATTGGAATTTGGAAGTGTTAGACAGTGTTTTTGTGGAAAACAGAGGAAAACTGGAGAACCTGGAGAAAAACCTTCAGAGCTAAGCGAGAACCAACAACAAATTCAAACCACTTGTGATGCCAGGATTCAAACCCAGTCCACTGCACTTTGGTGAGAAGCAAGTACTGTCACTACAGTAACTGTGCCATTCCTGCTATCCCAATTATGCTGTTCTCTGAAAAATGACACACTACAGGTTGAATGTTAATTGACAGTGATAATTAAATGTTTATGACAGGTTTGGCCCCAGATTTCCAGCCCTGTCTGATGCTTATGACAGGTCTCTTGTTAAAACTGTTCTCCAAACGGCCCAAGACTTGGGCTATAAACACTTTGTTCGAGAAGGAGTTTACGCTGCTCAGGTCGGACCTGCATTTGAGACTCCAGCTGAATGTCGATTCTTAAGTATGGTAAGAGAAAAGTTTTCTTTATTTTGTAGATTTGTTCAACAGGTTTGGGGGATCTGGTGTTAATGTTTTTATCGTTCAACTTGCTTTGAGACGTTAGCCGTGTGTCAACGATATTAAGTAAGTAAGTAGGTAAGTAAGTAACTTTATTTAATGAGGGTAAAAACACTTTTCAGTCATTGACTGATAAACTCGTGGCCCTCCCTTAAACAATTAAAAAATAAATCACAATGATTTTAAAAATATCTAACTATGAATAATAATAAGTATAAACTGGTAAAATTACTAACATCAATAAAATGGACTAAAATCTTGTTGGTGCATGCGATAGAAAGAGTTAGAGGACACTAAGAAATTGTGAAATGTTCAGTATTTGCATACCCCTTCTTTATAAGCTTTACGCATTTCTCTTTAAAAACGTTAATGCTATCACAGGATCTTATGTGACAAGATGTTGACATCTTCTGTGGTCAATCAGTGAACAGATGGATGGCAACATGGAATTTATTTGTTTTACAGTGTATATTATAAAGAAACAAACAAAAAAGGTTCAGGACATCAACTATGCATCAGTCCTCGAATTGATCATGAGTAAGAACCAATCAATATATTAATATTAACGCCCAAGTCGCTAGTGGAGGGAAGGTGCCTACGAAGCCCGGGGGCTGCAACCACAGTCACATCCCCAAGGCGCTAGAACACCCGACTGGCCTGCCCAACCCGCAACCAAGCCACGAGCCCTCCGCGCCAAGCCCCCTACAGGCACCCGTCACACTCAAGCCAGACGGCATTGGTGGAAAATAAATGAATAAATAAATAAATAAATAAA